AAGATTTAGGTATTATAAACCTTATTAAAACAGACACTTATTTTGTTCAGCGAATCCAAAAATGCAATAATATACAGGACATTCCATTTAAAAAATCGCAACTTTGATACCTTTAGACACCCTGTACATTACAAAAATATTTTTAAAATGTGCGCTCGGTAAGCGTCGGTCAATTCATAAAATAATACTTTTTAAAAATCAAACGGTTTAGCCGCAAACTTCCGTGCCGTAGAGCGTGAATAACCCTGTATATTAAATATGTTTTGAATTTAATTGAAAACATATTTGAGTTTACCTCGGTTATTTCAGAAAACATGGGTTCCGTCTTCTTATTTTCTATCACGCAACGCATGCTTGATTTTAAGACGATACGAATCTCTCTTCAGCTTATAGTTGCAAAATATGTAAAACGAATTTATTAGGGCCTATTTTCAATGATTAATTGTGTTTACCACGCATCAAAATTTGTTTTCCCTTCATATACCCTTTGATTCCTTTATAATTAAACCTTTTCAATTAAGTTAAATTTTTTTAGACTTGGATTAGTTCAGTTAGAATATTTTTTTCAATCTACGCGCGATGGCTTACGCTATGTATGTATACATATAGTGTGTCAAGTGTAACCTGTCTCTATAGCTCTTTCTTGTTTTACCGTATATTTTAAACAGATAGAATGTCTTGAAATCACCAAAATTAATTGATTTTTTAGTTCTATCCAGATACAAGTTGAAGCAGCGAAAAGTATTAAGTAATGATTTTAACGCCAAAAATGATTTCGTGCTAAAAAATGAGCATTCAGTAATAGATAAACTCAAAGTAGCTTTCATCAACTGACGTCAAAGATTATACATACAAAGCAAATAAGAAATTACGACTAAAAATACAGAAACTCAAGCAGAAGAAGAGTTTACACAAACCCAAGAAGAGCAATATGTAGAACCTATCGTTAAAGAATATTAACCAGAGCCGAAATACTGAACGTATAAAACCCGCGTTTGAGCATATACTTATAGGCAACGACCATACCACGTTGAATAATACCGGTTCTCGTCCGATCAGTTCGCGTTTGATCCTCTCCTCTCTAGTAGTGTAGTTGAAGAATATTAATCAGAGCCTAAATACTGAACGTATAAAACCCGCGTTTGAGCAAATACATTTAGGCAACGACCATACCACGTTGAATAATACCGGTTCTCGTCCGATCATTCGACCCTCGTCTTTATCTATGATTCGACCCTTGGCAGGCAGGTAGAACGGTCGCAATCTGTAAGTCACCGAAATTTTGCGAAACGCCTGGCTTCATTCCATTGTTGCGGGGAGTTTTCGAAGTGAAGGTTTGAAGGTTTTCTTTTTCGCCCGTTTTCAGTGATTTTTTCATTTTTAGTATTATTTACGGATTTATTTAAACGTTTTGCGGAATAGTGTCGTTCAGGTCCTGGCGGACATTTCCGCCACTCTTAGCTCGCGCGAATCCTCAGTGGCTGCCACGGACAATGAGGACAATGAGTACGAAGTGCCGCAAAACTCGATTTTGAGTAGTGTCGTTCCCCTAAACGCGTTTGCAAGTCTGTGTAGTGCACGTCGAAGTGGTTCCGAAGCATTACACAAACGAAAAATTCAATCTGTAAGTCCCAAAAAAATTACAGATAATTTTAAAAAAGTGAAGCAGCTGACTGATGAAAACGAACTGGCTGAAAATCAGTCAACCGCGATTGGTCCAAATATCGCTATTCATCAATCAGGCGACAACTCCGAGGAATATATAGTGCCTCGGAAAACTATTTCATGGAGAGCGCTTGTAGCCCCACATGAAGCTTCAACAATCACTGCAAACCGGTTTACTCCCATACAACCGGCCATCGAAGAACTTCAACAGTCAGCAAGCGCTGAAGAGCCGGCAAATAATGAGGAACTGGCTGCAAAAGCGGCGACCGCTAAGACGAAGCGGAACGTGGAAAAGCCGCCTCCAATTGTGATTGCAGGTAAAGCAAACAGCCATGTGGAGCTGGTAAAGGGCTTAAAATCCATTACGAGCAAGCCCTTTACCCTAAAATACACCAAGGCTAGCCTTATAGTGTACTGCTCCTGCATCATGGACTGGGCGGCCGTAAAACGCTCTCTGGAAACCGAAAACAGCCAGTTCCACACGTACGCCCCTGCCACTGAGAAGGCACACGCCTTTGTCCTAAGGGGATTGGAGGGTAATGTTAACCCAGATGACAAAAAGGATTTAATCCAAAGATCTGATAACACCAAGAATGTGTTTAGCATGAAAACAAAATTCAAGCCCTTGTTTTTGGTGGTAACAGACAAAAGGTTACCCTCCGCAAACTCAATTAAACGAAACAATCGGAAAACCCTTACGCAATGTCGCCGTTGTCAAGGATGGGGGCATGTGTCGTCAAACTGCAACCGGAACTTCAAATGTTCCAGGTGTGCTGGGGCGCACGAAATCACATCCTGCCCTCCTGGTGCAGTTCTTAAGTGCGCAAACTGCGGCGGTGCACACCGCAGTTTTGAAGACCAATGTCCTGTGTACCTATTTAAACAAGCACAGGTCCCAGCCGAAAAGCAGCGGTACGTCCCAGCTCCACCACCTGCAAGACCAGCCTGGGAGCAAGCCTCCCGCGCCCCCGGCCCGATTCGCCTTCCACCACCAATAAGCAGGTCCATGGCGCCAAGCGACAAGAGGACCAGGCTGCCCAGTGAGCTCAACTCGCTGGCAGACTTTCCACCACTAGTCCGCCAGGCAGCTCG